TTGCTGGCTTATGGGGCCCACAAAGGATGAAGAGGCAGACACCCGAGGGGTGGGACTGGGGGCGGGAGCACGGTTGGAAAAGATAACAATGCAATTTGCAAGGCAGATTTTGCAGTCTGGGTTTTTTAAAGCGGTGGATCAGCTCGGTTTACCCGTGATTTTTTTTTTTTTTAATAAAGTGAAACTGAATACTCAGGGCAAACACGGAACCCTAGGAATCTGCAGGAACTTCTCAAATCTGTATTTAGCAAAATGTTTCAAATAAGTCTCAGACATGCTGATGTGCCAGACCTGAAGCAGGGATGCCCTGCAAGGGACTGCCACACTCCTGGGACCCAACGTGCCATCCCTACCCCAGGCTCTGCCCCATAGCTTCGCCACAACACACCTAAAAGGCCATTCCTCCAACCCCCTTCTTCAAAAAAGCGTAAAGTGCTTGTCGCAAGCCTGCCTTGTCTGCACAGTTTGAACTTTGAAAACACCAGCAGTACTTGGACCGAGCAAGGGAACAGGAGCAAGACCTGCCCGTCACCAACAGCGTCTTCCTAACCGGGTCTGCCTCTCACTGCAGAGGAACACTGGAAGGCCAAAGACAAGAACAAGCACATCCTGGGCCTTAACACCGAGACACCTGACGGCCCCACGTGGGCCTTGGGGTGACAGCTGAGTGCGTCAACTGGAAAAACTGAGTGCAGAGCGCCGACACACACTATTCAGAAAGAACTAGAAGCACAAAGGCACCAGCTCTGGTTTCTTCTGTGTTACTTTTATTATTATAATTATTATTTAACCACACAGATCTGAGCAGCTGAACAGGGAGTCTCTCCTTGTCCACAAACCTGACTTGGGCCCACAAGCCATCACCCGTGCCACAGGGAGCCCACGAGATGGAGGCCCAGCTGTCCCACTTCCCATCCAGCTCCCTGCTCCTGCAGCTGGGAAAGCAGGACTTGGGCCCCTGATCTCACATGGGGACCTGAACAGAGTCCCGGCTTTGGCCAAGGCCTGGCCATCGTGGTCATTTAAGGTTTGACGGAAGCTCTCACCCTGACCCCGTCCCCTCTCTCCCTGTCACTCTGTCTTTTTCTCAAACAGAAATAAATCTTCACAAAAACTTCTGACTCATGGCTAATGTCGGCACCGCTGCCCGCAACAGGAGTGGAGCATCAGCGGTGTGCCAATTACATTTCAGTCTGCGCTTTCCTTCCAGGCTAATGACCTGCCTAATTCACTTAGCCCTTGATCAGTCTGGGAACGCACTTCTGACACGAAGGCCCATAGCATTTCTCTCCTGAAAATGCAAATCCAATTTCTCTGGCCACGTGAAAAGGACTCCCTTTCTCAAGATTAAACTTCGGTTGGGGGGAAGGCAGGTACAAAGAGAAAGAACTCCTTCACTAAGTATGCTCCCCAGAGCCACCCACACCCTGTGGTCAATGCCACCACACCGTGCTGGTCTTCATCGTCGGCTTTATGTTTTTTGTTGTTTTGTGTTGTTCCCATTGCCAGTGAGTGTGTGAGTCCAGACAGACAGCTCTATGATGAAAGCATAAAAAAATCATCCAGAACTACAGCCACTCTTAGGTCTCCACGTATGAATGTGAAGGCAGGAAGAGAATGTTCTGCTATTCAAAAGCATCACTCCCACAGGCTTTCAACAGCTTGTCCACCGGTGAACAAGGAGGCCAGGGAAGGACTCTGTGAACTCAGAAATCCTGTTTTAAAATGTCTGACAGCGGGACCAGTGACATGGAAGAGCAGGTTATGCCACCTATGGTTTAAAACCCAGCTGATCCACTTCCTTGCTGTTCTGCTATTTGGGGAGTGAACCTGCAGATACAAGATCTTTCTCTCTGTTCCTCCTTCTCTCCTTCCTTCTATAACTCTGCCTTTCAAATAATAAATTAATAAAACTCAATTGGTACAGTTTCAGATGCATCTTGAACATACTAAAATGTTGGGAGCTCTGGTACAATAGCCTAGTGGCTAAATCCTTGCCTTGCATACATTGGGATCCCATAAGGGCTCCTGTTCATATCCCAGCTGCTCCACTTCCCATCCAGCTCCCTGCTTGTGGCCTGGGAAAGCAGTCGAGGACGGCCCAAAGCCTTGGGACCCTGCACTCACATGGGAGACCCAGAAGAAGCTCCTGGCTCCATGGCTTCAGCTCTGCTCAGCTCCAGCTGTCGTGGCCACTTGGGGAGTGAAATCAGTGGATGCAGTCATCAAGACTCTCTGGTTTCTGAACATCCGAACCTCACAGACAGCGTCAAGATTTCATGGGGGTTGGGGGGATGGGGCTGTGCCCCTGCATCCTTCGGCCAAGTGCCTGGGCTCTACCCGTGCCTCCAGGTTCCGCCAAGGCAGACTCAGGAAGGCAGCATGGATGACACAGGCACTGTATGCCCGCTGCCCACGTGAGAGACCCAGATTGAGTTCCCAACTCCTGGTCTCTGCTGTGAGCACTTTGAGTGAACTACCATCTGTCTGTCTGTATCAAATCAATAAACTTCTTTAAAAAAAAAGCTTTCATGTGCAGCACAAGCATTGTGGTGCACTGGGTTAAACCACCAGCTGCAGGGCCACTCTCCCATACTGGAGTGCTGGCTCAAGTCCCAGCTGCTCTGTCTCCAATCTAACTCCTTGGTGTTATACCTGGGAGAGCGGCAGAGAAAGGTCCAAGCAGGCCCCGCCACCCACATGAGGCCTGCAGCTCCGAGCTTGTGGCTTTGACCCAGCCCTGCCCTGCACACTGCGGGTATTTGAGGAGTGAACCAGCAGAGGGCAGATTAATCTCTCTTTCTACTCCACCTCCCACTTTCCCCTCTCCCTTTCAAATAAACAAAACAAATATATTTTTAAAATACACTCCAAGATCTGGGGGCAGGTTTTGTAGGCTCGTCTAAGAGAATAAAAAGAAGTAAAACATTTTTCCCACCCACCTTCCTCTGTACCTCAGCCCTACCCATCCTACTTGGGGGCCCACATGGGCTTACATCCTTCTCAATGATGTTGATATTAAAAACAAAATTTTAAAAGTGAAAAAAAGCTTTCATATGAATGCCAAAAATGGTGTTGGAGGTGATTAATTATTCTGATCTGACCATTACACACAATAGTCATGTGTTGAATTATCACACTATAACCCGTAGATTTGTCCAAGCACACGCCAATTTCAAAACAGAATAAAGCTCTGCTTAAAGGGAAAAAAAATTGATGTGGTAAAAGATAAAAAAAAAAAAATGCCATGCAAAGATATGGACTGATTTCTTTGATTTTGCACCTGAACGTCCTAAATGGAGATGAGAAGTTCTGCTCAGGAAGTATTTTTATTTCAGCAGTGAGGCCCTAAAAGCCTCATTGTTCCTCTGCCACAGCCTCCCAGCCCGGCTTGGTGAGTTAAGCTTCCCCATACATGGGTCACAGAATAGAGTCTGGCACCAGCCCATGAGTGGATACAGAACCCCGCCCAGCACTGCCCCACACATGGATCACGGGAACCAGCACAGGCTGTGTGGCAGCTGCAGCCTCAGGCTGGGCTCTCAAGACAGGCTGAGGCCCAGGTGCCACCTCCCTGTCCTGCTGCTTGCCACACCACCACCCTGGGGTCTCTGGCCACAGGCAGCCAGTGCCTCATGCTGGCAAGCTCTACCAACTCTCCTAGCACCTCTTCCAAGGCTGAGAGAAGTGAAGGCCAGGGCTGGATGTCGTTTGAGGAAAAGCCACTGCGATGTGCGGAAGGGTGGAGCCTGGAGCTCCTCCCCACGGCACCCTGCTTAGGGCAGCACGAGTTGGCTACCCTGCATTTTCAGAGCTGAGGACAGAATATTTCACCTGGGAGAGGAGTTAAGGCACACCAGTCACAAAGAAATGCCCCCAAAGGGGCCTCTGACTACTACGGGAAGGCCCAGGTTGCCTGCCTCTGCAGAGTGCCCCGATTCTTCTCACTGGCAACTTTCACCAGCTCTAAGCGCCTGCCCAAAGACTTGCATGCCTCTGCAACTATCAACTGAGACAGCACAACCTTTGCAGACAGCATCAGAGCTTCAATTTTTTTCTGGTTTTGCACCCAAAACAAATCCCATGGAAACTTCTCCTGCAGAGAAGCCCCCCAGAGGCCTGTAGCCCTGGAGGGGCCGAAGGTGGCTCAGAGCCTGCTCTGGAGTCTGAGCCATCTAGAGACCTCCCCTATTCCAGAACCCTCCTTTTCCTCAAGGCAAGGCACAGCTTTGACGCCCCTCAGCTTCCCTTAAAACGGCCCGAGCCCCCACGTTGGGACCTCAGTGATCAGCGGTCTCCTCTTTCCCCGGCTAGCTCAGCAAACTTCAGGCCACACTCGTTCCAGTGTGCAGACGGCAGACAAGAGTGCAAAGTGTGAAGTAAGCCCACTGTGGCCTGGCCGGAAGAGAGACGGCGGCGCCCTGGGGGCTTCCCCAAGGGTGCACTGTGCGGCAGCTTTAAAGTCCACCATTTAACCCGCACAACACAGGGCCAATTACAAAAGAGTCCCTCCTCACTTCTCCAGATCACACCACAATTCCTGCATACCTCATCAGCAAAGATTTCTGAGTTACCTTCAAAGGAACCTGCAGAATGGAGGCAAATCTCTTGCCTTCCTAACAATGTTGCAACAGTCTGTCTTTGAAGTCGTTGGTCCCTGTTGCAATAGTCTCTCTGAAAGCCTTTGCCCACTTCCACCAGGACAGGTGGGGGCAGGGAGTGCACCCAGCACAGGAAGGACATGAAGTGTGGGTGGCCTTGCCCTCTGGGCCACGCACGTGCGCATGGTTTGACAGGACCCACTCCGAGAGGCCCGGGGTGACTGCTGAGGCCTGCAGGGCTGCAGGCCGACACTGGCCTCCCTGGTGTCGTGGCAACCGAGCGCCCGCTGGCCACGCGGCGCCCACACACCAGCAGCCCGGGCCTTGAACTCTGCTCCCCTAACTGTCAGCGGCCATGATTGAGTTGCAACCCCGCCGCCCCAGGAGCTGGAGGCTGACCTCTTGCTGTGAGCCGGCTGTAGACCTGGGAGTTGACTTCCTTGTCCCGCACGTAGCATCGGATCTCCTCCACAGCCTCCCGGATGACAGTGACAGCCAGCACGAAGCCCTGTGGAGAGCGGGGACAAGGGTGAGCCAGTGAACGGGCTGCCTCTCCTAGTGCCTGGGGCGACAAGGCCAAGAGGCCAAGGGGGAGGGCAGCGGGGCAGGCCCTGTGAGTCACCCCAGCAGGCAGGCAGCAGCGGCTGCCAACATCCCTGCCACTTGCTACCTTCATGTGACTTCCGCACAACCCACCTTGCAGACCGAGGCACACGGAGGGTGAAGAACCTTCCCTGTGCAGGCAGGATCTAAGCACAGGACATGTCCCCGGCTCTCACACACAGAGACACAGGAGGGTGACAGGGAGGGGGGCACACCACGGCCTGGGCAGAGCCCGGGGTGTGGGATGGCAGCCTTTCCCACCACACAGATGCACGCAGGAGCCACGAGAACAAAGCTGGGCAACACCACCCAGCGTTTCCCTGCATCCTTAACTACAGCTCGGGCTCCCCTGCAAAGCAAGGGGATGAGGTTGGCCTCACCTGCGCCATTCCAGCTTCTATAAGGAAACCCTGCTGAAGAGGGGAGCCCGGGAACCTAACAAGGCCATAGCCCGCCCCCACCCTCCCCAGGCTCCCCCATTCATCAAACCTGGCAGGGGAGGGACAAGGGGGCGGAGCCACCTCAGCAAGCATCTATTTCCCTTCTAGACTTCTTTTCTTGTATCAAAAATGGCAAAAGTCTTCACTCATTTCTTCTTGCAGTCACTCACCTCCCCATCATCCCTCTGCCTATTTGAGGCTCCCCTGATCAATAATTTTCTCAAAACACAGATGGTAAGACCCGGCGCAATAGCCTAGTGGCTAAAGTCCTCGCCTTGAACACACTGGGATCCCATACTGGTGCCGGTTCTAATCCCAGAAGCCCTGCTTTCCATCCAGCTCCCTGCCTGTGGCCTGGGAAAGCAGTCGAGGACAGCTCAAGGCCTTGGGATCCTGCACCTGTGTGGGAGACCCTGAAGAAGCCTCTGGTTCCTGGCTTTGGATCAGAGCAGCTCTGGCCATTGCAGACACTTAGGGAGTGAATTAGTGGATGGAAGATCTTCCTTTCTGTCTCTCCTTCTTTGTGTATATCTGCTTTTCCAAAAACAAATGCCAGAAAAAATCTTTAAAAAAAATCCACAGATGGGATAACCAGCTGGGGGAGTTCTCCGCTGTGCTATGGGGGGAATCCCGTTCCTGTGTCAACGCCGTGAGATGCATCAGCTGTGAGCCAAGGGCTGTGCATGCCCTATAACTGCAGCCCAGGATGAGCTGCCCTGGGGGAGTCCTCCAGAGCCCCTCGGGTGCCCTCCCTGTTCCAACCCCCAGCCATCTCCCCTGCAGCCACTCAGAAGGCAGAGCATGCTCCAAACCAGAGCACAGGTCCCTTTTCAGAGAGAGGGGGAGGAAACCCCTGCAAGGGGCAGAGCCCCTCCCTGCAGGACCACTCCCAGCTCCTCTCTGTGCCACAACCAGGGGCTTCTGACTGCTGCGTCTTCTTTCAAACGGCCCAGCCTCTACTTCTCTCTGCGTGGGCCTGGGTAGATCCCAATGACATCTGCAGGAAGCTGAGCTTAAACACAAGAGCTGCTCACTACCGTCCCCGTCCATCCACACTACTGCCCTGCTCACACACACAGGACCAGCCATTCCCTGGGCTGGGAACTGCTTGACAAAGAGATGCAAATGATGAACCCCAGCCAGGGTCCTAGGAGGCCTGACACCCACAGGCATCAGGAAGGCATCAGTGGGGGGTGGCGTGTGCCTGGAGAGAAGTCACCCCGGCGACAGCGCGCACACACACACACACACACACACACACACACACACACACACACACAGTTCTGAGGGTGCTGAGCCTCTTTGGTGAAGTTGACATCAAAGACAGATTTGCTACAGCAAAGCTAACCTGTGGGACACACAAAGCAGAAAAGCAGTGACCCGCTATGTGTGTAGACAGGGGCTGGTGGGGGGGTCACGTGGCCTAGCAGTGAAAGACACTGAGAGCACCACACCTCCCCTACGGGCACCGGCTCACAGTCCCAGCTGTCCCACTGCTAGACTTGGAACAAGCTCCTGGCTTTCACTTGGCCCATTGCGGCCACCTGGGGAGAGAACCAGCATTTAGAATATCTGGAATATCTCTCCCTCTTCGTCTAACTTTCAAATACATAAATAAATCTCCTTGGGGGAAAAAAAAAGAAATGAGAGAGTGGCTGGAGGGAACTTTTTGGCGTGATGGAAAATTCTGTGTCTCAACTGAGATGGTATCTATGCGGGCATGCGCAGAGGTCGACCCCGCCGGACTGCAACCTGCAGACCTGTGTATTTGACGCACGCAGATCCTCTCTCAGTGACGACCAGGAAACTCTATACTTGTTATCTCATCACCCAACAAAGAAGGTTTCGGAGAACAACGTCTCCTGGAAAAGAACTCCCCCTCACGCATTATTAATACCAAGAAAAAAGCAATTAAAAGCTAAAACTTGGCGTCAGCATTGAGCTCAACAAGCTAATCCTCCACCCTGTGGGACAAGCATCCCATTTGGTGCCGGTTTGTGTCCCAGCTGTTCCTCTTCCCATCCAGCTTCCTATTTTTGGCTTGGGAAAGGAACAAAGATACCCTAAGTACTTGGGTTCCTACAGCCAAACAAGAGAACTCTAAGAAGCTACTGGCTTCAGATCGGCTCAGCTCTGGCTGCTGCAGCCACCTGGGGGGTGAACCAGCAGATGGAAGATGTTTCTCTCCATCTCTCCTTCTCTCTGTAAATCTGCCTTTCTGATACTAAAAAAAGAAATCAATCTTTGTTATGTACATATATGTATATTAAATAAATGAATGCTGAAACTATTCCTGAGCAATGAAGACCAATGTCACGAGTGGCAGGATTTTTTTGTTTTGAGACTTTTCTGTTTTCTCCACATCAGGAATTACATAAAAGCAGCATTTCGTTTCCTCCTTCCGGAAGGCGTGGAAGTAGACACAGTCACCTCCATTTTGCAGACGAGGATAGTGGCGCTATGAAGCAGTGTTCAAATGAAAAGTCTTCTCAAAGCAGAGTCAGAGCTGAACCCACGGAGCCCCAGGGACTGCCCTCAGAGCCACCAGAGCTGAATCTTCAAATTTTATTCTTATTGGAAAGGTGGCTTTACAGAGAGAAGGAGAGACAGAGAGTTCTTCCATCCTCTGACTCACTGCCCAAATGATCAAAACAGCCAGAACTGAACTGATCTGAAGGCAGGAGCTTCTTCCAGGTCTCCCATGCACGTACAGGGTCCAAAAAAAAAAATTTTGTTTTTGTTTTTGAGCTATCCTATGTTGCTCTCCCAGGCACGTTAACTAGCTTAGAAGTGGAGCAACTGGGACACGAACCAGCACCTATACAGATGCTGATACTGCAAGTGGGGAATTATCTTGCTACACCCCCATGGCCACCGCTCGTAGCTGGAGCTCAAGTTTGAGCCTGCAGCAGTGAACAATTCACACCGTGTTCCAACCAAGATCTGAAGCTTATCCCGCAGAGAAATCAACTGGAGGAAATCAGGTACAGTCACCTATAAACGCATGTTCACTGACTTCAACCTTCTCTTCTCCGCGGTCTCTTGGGAGAAAGGCAACACCTGAAAATGTCCCCCAAGGGACCCATCACAGGAAAAGCTGATGATAAAAGCAACCACAGGGCCAATGTTGGGCTGAGCCAGCTAAGCCGCTGCCTGTGACACCAGCACCCTACAGGAGTGTGAAGTTTGAGGCCTTGGTGTCTCACTTTCTTTTTTTTTTTTAAGATTTATTTTTATTATTTTTTCATTGGAAAGACGGATATAAATCTTTACTTTTTAAATTATTTTAAAGATTTATTTTATTTTTATTGGAAAGGCAGATATACAGAGGAGGAGAGACAGAGAGGAAGATCTTCCGTCCGATGATTCACTCCCCAAGTGAGCGCAACAACCAATGCTATGCCGATCCGAAGCCAGGAGCCTCTTCTGGGTCTCCCACGCGGGTGCAGGGTCCCAAAGCTTTGGGCCGTCCTCGACTGCTTTCCTGGGCCACAGGCAAGGAGTTGGATGGGAAGCGGGGCTGCTGGGATTAGAACCGGTGCCCATATGGGATCCCGGGCGTGTAAGACAAGGACTTTAACCACTGCGCCACCGCGCCAGGCCCAAAACAAATAAATCTTAAAAAAAAAAAGATAAGATAACCACTGACTTTGGGGAAAATCCTTCTAGATGGTCAAGCACTTAGATGCCCACTAATGCAGACCCAGGGAGGCACATGGCACGGTTCAGGTAATTGGGTCCTTGCCACCAACACAGAGACCCAGACTGAGCTCCAGGGTCCAGCTCTGGCCCAGCGCAGTCCCCGCTGCTGTGGCCATCTGAAGAGTGAGCCAGCACATGGAGCTCTGTGTCTCTGCCTCTCCTATGACAACAACAAGCACTGACTCAGAAAGAGGTATAGCTGTTGCCTCTTTCTAAAAGGAGAAAACATGTAACACTTCATTACTTGTCCTTCTTTGCTCAGAAACCCCAGAAGGAAGGACAAGAGATGAAAGACAGTATCTGGGGACAGAACTGGAGAAAGCTAGATGGTCACCAAGGGACACTCCCATGTTCCATGTGCCATCTGAATGCACTCAACTTTGAAATACACCTTTTTAAAAATCACTAATACAGGGCCCGGCAGCATGGCCTAGTGGCTAAAGTCCTCGCCTTGAACATCCCGGGATGGGCGCCGGTTCTAATCCTGGCTTCGGATTGGCCATTGCGCTCACTTGGGGAGTGAATCATCGGATGGAAGATCTTCCTCTCTGTCTCTCCTCTCTGTATATCCACCTTTCCAATAAAAAATAATAAAAATAAATCTTTAAAAAAAAATAAATAAATCTTTTTTAAAAATCACTAATACAAGGCACTATAATAAATATTCTGTCTTTACTAGACTAACTTTTAAAAAAATAAATGATTTAAATTTATGTAAGTATACAGTAAGCAGATGGGGAACCTAACAGCTAAAATAAAGTAAGAGTACTTAATCAGAAAATGCTAAGGCTGGGTGCAGTAGCCTAGCAGCTTAAGTCCTTTCCTTGCACGCGCCGGAATCCCATGTCAGCCCTGGTTTGTGTCCCAGCTGCTTCACTTCCCTTACAGCTCCCTGCTTGTGGCCTAGGAGTGTGGTGGTAGACAGCCCAAGACCTTGGGACCCTGCATCTGCATGGGAGACCCCAAAGAAGCTTCTGGCTCCTGGCTTCCAATCAGGTCAGCTCCAGCCATTGTGGCCACGTGGAGAGCTGGCAGATGAAAGATCTTTCTCTCTCTGTCTCTCCTTCTCTTTGCAGATCTGACTTTCCAATAAGATGCTAAGGGTGCTAATCCTCAGGTCTGATGACTCCTGGTTCACACTCGCACCTGCCCACACACGGAGCACACACGAGTGTTCCCTTCTCCCACACCTTCCTCACTCTGTGAGCCCAGCTGCCTCTGGCGTCTCCACCGTGTGCTGAAGGCCACAGCTGCCCGAGGCTCACGGCACCCCATGCTAAGAGCACAGGCAGTAGCGGTACTGGGTAGGCATGGGCTGTTGGGATTTTGCCCCCCTGCCACAGGGCCCTTGCACTGCCTGCCCCCATTCCCTTCAGCTCATCAGGAGGCCTTGTGAAGCCAGGCTGGCTAAGGTTCCCCTCCATGTCTCCCACCACCTAACCCTACCCTTGCAAAAAGCACTAGGCGTTAGCCTGTGCCATCTCGCTACTAGGTGAAGTGGTCCTGCTTCCCTGGTCACTATCAGTCCCCTCTCGGGGAGGGACTTGGACCCCTTCCCTTCATCCCAAGCAACCATCACAGTGTCTGGCATACCCCAGGGGCCCAATCACCACGTGCCCAAAGGACGTAAGGAAGAAATAAGAGCCCTGCTTTGCTGCCCAGGCATTAATGCAGGTTCATGTTGAAAATCAGATCTCCAAAAACATTTGAATGGAGCCTCTTTTGGGGCGGCGCGATTGCCTTTCTTCCTCGTTGTGACGCCCCCACAGTCCAGGATCATGCCACCTCCAACAGGCATGCCAGAACTATCCACAGAAGACTGGACCAGGGCACTATTCCCAAGAGGCACACTGCAAGAACAGCAGAGGCTGTGCGCTCGTTGGAGCCCAGGACGTGAGGTCATAATCGAAATAGCTCAGGGTTCCCCCAGCATACCCCCACTGGGGACATCCTTGCCATCCCAGACACTTGGGGTGAGAGAAGCAAGCAAGCTCTTGCCCCGAGACCGTTAAGGTGACTGAGCAAATCCTGTCCTGCCACACCATGCTACTCACCAGGGGAACCCAGTAGGTGTATAGCGCACCGAGCCTCATCTCAGGAACAAACTGGGAACAGGCGAGAAGTAAGAAATAGAGGTTGAAGAAGTACTTGAACTGGTTGAACAGCACCTGGAAGCAGACAATGCGGCAGACGGTCAGGGCTGGCCAGACGGGAGCTGGGCAGTCAGGGCTGGGCGGATGGGGGTCGCTCAGGGGGCTGGGCAGTCAGGGCTGGGCGAGTGGGGGTCGCTCAGGGGGCTGGGCAGTCAGGGCTGGGCGAATGGGGGTCGCTCAGGGGGCTGCGCAGTCAGGGCTGGGCGAGTGGGGGTCGCTCAGGGGGCTGGGCAGTCAGGGCTGGGCGGATGGGGGTCGCTCAGGGGGCTAGGCAGTCAGGGCTGGGCGGATGGGGGTCGCTCAGGGGGCTAGGCAGTCAGGGCTGGGCGGATGGGGGTCGCTCAGGGGGCTGCGCAGTCAGGGCTGGGCGAATGGGGGTCGCTCAGGGGGCTGGGCAGTCAGGGCTGGGCGGATGGGGGTCGCTCAGGGGGCTGGGCAGTCAGGGCTGGCCAGACGGGAGCTGGGCAGTCAGGGCTGGGCGGATGGGGGTCGCTCAGGGGGCTGGGCAGTCAGGGCTGGGCTAATGGGGGTCGCTCAGGGGGCTGGGCAGTCAGGGCTGGGCGGATGGGGGTCGCTCAGGGGGCTGCGCAGTCAGGGCTGGGCGAATGGGGGTCACTCAGGGGGCTGGGCAGTCAGGGCTGGGCGGATGGGGGTCGCTCAGGGGGCTGGGCAGTCAGGGCTGGGCGAATGGGGGTCGCTCAGGGGGCTGGGCTGAGGCAACTGGAAGTCTCCAGGAAGGCAGTGACAGTGACTGAATCTGTTGCACCAGAACGTGGCGTTCATGTCGTGTCCCCTCTCACAGGGGGCTCCACACTTCCACGTGTCATTTAGGATTACAGAGTCCTCTGTGACAGAAGGGAATCATGACAGACCCAGATGCTGTAAGCACCACATTCAGGATGGTGGTGACCGCTGGCTCACTTCTCAAGTGGCCACAACAGCCAAAGCTGAGTCGATCCGAAGCCAGGAGCTTCTTCTGGGTCTCCCATGCAGATGCAGGGTCCCAAGGTTTTGGGCCATCCTCCATTGCTTTCCCAGGCCACAGGCAGGGAGCTGGATGGGAAGTGAAGCAGCTGGGACACAAACCAGGGTCTAGTGGGACCCCAGGACTTGCAGGTGGAGGATTTAGCCAGTTGAGCCATCACACTGGGCCCCAAAATAAATAAATCTTTAAAAATAAATAAATAAGTAAGTAAAAGACATGGTGTGCGATGCCCACACCCAATGTCAACGTGCTGGGGTTCAAGTCCCAGCTGCCTGCTAATGCACACCCTAGGGTCCTTGCCACCCCTATGGAAGACCCATATTAAGCTCCCAGCTATCATGGGCACTTGGGGAATGAACCAATGGGTGGCAGATCTCGCTCTGTCTCGTGTGTGTATGTCTATCTGCCTTTCAAATAAACAAAATAATAAATGAGTATTTCAAATGACACAGTCATCTCTGAAAAGGATTCCAGCTGACCTAACTCCAGGGTACTCTACCACTCAATATTGATTAAGACATGGCCACTTTGGTCCTTCTCACCTGGGACCTGACTGCTGGTACTGCTGAGTCAACAGGTGCATGTGGAAGTCACACTGGCCAGTGACAGACATGCCAGCCACGTGCCTTAGAGGGGAGGGTGGCTGAGTACATGCCCATGACCATGCGAGTGCGACAACTGGCCAGGCCACCTTCCCTCTACTGAGGATGGATTTTAAGGATCAGGTACATTCCTCTTCCATGTTTTGGTTACAAGGCCACGTTCCCACGCTGGGAAGAGAGGAAAAAACCCATGACTCTGCTGGCACTTACCCCAGGAAGAAAGGTGAAAAAATTGTACTTCTGATTGTTGATGACATTTCGAGGATACCTCTGGTCCCTCTTCTCGGGGTGCCCCAACCAGACAGTGCGGGGTCTGGGATCCCCTCCACCACAGCATCTCAGCCACTCACAGCACCTGCGGGAAAGACACACCACCAAGATCATGCTCACACCACCCAGACTACACCCAAACCACCCTGCACCATCATCGAGGCCACATCCATATTGCTGAGGCCACACCCACATCTGCCCACCCATCCCAGAATATTTTTCTCTGCACACACTCTGGTTGGGTCAAGCCCCAACACTGGAAAACAGTGTGGACACTTCTAAGAAGCTGTGATCAAGAGAGAAGCAGCCGGTCCTCCAGCCTAAAGGATTTATGTCAAAAATATAGAATACATAGAGGAAAAAAAGTAGGATACATTTACAAATTTAGAAGACATAAGCTAAAAGTAATTTTAACACAATAAGCACAATCTGTTGTACAGATGAGAGAAGGAAGCCCAGAGCAGTCAAGCAAAGCACCCAAGTTGAACGCGATGCGAGAACCAGCCAGCTCTGCCCTCGACCGTGATGGAGGAGCATACACAAGGCAACATCTCTGAACCCAATACACCTGCCACCCCAATCTGGTTCTCAGAGCTAGGCAGCTCATTAGCACCAACCCACCCGTCCACCCAGGCACTCTGTACCACCCAGGTTACTCTCACAAGGCAAGAGGACTGGGCCACTCTGTGAGCATATTAAAAGGGCAGCACCAGGCCCAGTGCGATAGCCAAATGGCTAAAGTCCTCGCCTTGCATGTACCAGGATCTCATATAGGCACCAGGGTCGTGGGACCTTGCACCTGTGTGGGACACCCAGAAGAGGCTCCTGATTCCTAGCTTCAGATTGGCTCAGCTCCAGCCATTGTGGCTGTTTGAGGAGTGAATCATCAGTCAGAAGATCTTCCTCTCTGTCTCTCCTCCTAGCTGTACTTCTGACTGTCCAATAAAAATAAATCTTCAAAAGAAAAAAGGCAGCACCAGGAAGTTCATTTCTGGGTGCTTGGAGAGGTGCAATCCCCCACGAGCAGCATAATGCAAGGACCCCAAGCTGTAGAACACACACTGCACCAGCTCGTGGAGCCAGGAGGGCAGACAACCCCAGCCCCGCACGCCCCAGAAAGTCACCAGCTGAAAATAAACCAATGGTATGTCACAACTCCCATAGCTACTTTTCCACAGCAGACTTCTCTTCTCCCCTTTCTCCCACAGGTCAGGAACTGCAGGGCAAACACATGCCCATGTAACAGGACCCTGGAGATGAGCCGGCCAGCACCTGTTCACACATGCACAACTCCCAGGCAAACACATAACACTCTGTCTTAAAAATGGCATCATAATTCTGGTGGCTGGGACCTCGAGTGCGGCCAGGGGTCACTTCCAGGAACACGTGCTGGCTCCTTCTGAAGCTGGGCAAAGACAGAGACACACACAGAAGTTCCAGGAGGGTGATGCCTCGCCCCATCCTTGCTCCAGGTTCAAAGCCGGGCATGACCTGGGGCTATGGAGGATGTGGGGAAAGGCAGGCGTGGGGACGGGCAGGAGGAAGCAGGGCGCAGAGATCTGCTGCTTCGGAGACAGGAACTCTGAGATAACCCTGTTGATTGCTCTGCAGATCTTAGTAAGCTGGGAATGCTACAACTCCAGAAATACTTAATTGGGCAAATGTTAACAGAAATTCTCACTCAATCTGGCAGAATTAAAATTTATCTTAGGCCAAGAGTATCTGGGAGCCAGTCCCACCTCAGCTTCCCATCAATCCAGCTTCCTGCTAACGTAGCTGGGAGGCAACAGGTGATGACCCAAATACTTGGTCCATGCCACCCACATGGGACCGCCAGATGGAGTGCTGGCACAGCACTGGCTACTGTAGCCACATGAGGAACAAATTAGTGAATGGAAGATATCTCTCCCACTGCCTTTTTTTATTTTTTTATTTTAATTGGAAAGTCAGATTTACAGAGAGAAGGAGACACAGAAAGATTTTCCGTCCACTAGGTCACCCATCAAGAGGCCGTTATAATTGGAACTGGGCCGATCCAAAGCCAGGAGCTTCTTCCGGGTCTCCCATGCAGATGCAGGTCCCAAGGTTTGGGGACGTCCTCTACTGCCTTCCCAGGTCACAAGCAGGGAGCCAGATAGGAAGTGGAGCAGCCAAAATGCAAACTGACACCCACATGGGATCCTGGTACATGCAAGGTGAGGACTTTAGCAACGAGGCTACAGCACCGAATCTCACTCTGCCTTTCACACAAGCAACTAAGCATGTCACAATTAAACATACAAACGGGACTAGTGCAATGGCTCGACTTGCTAATCCTCTGCCTGAGCACCAGAATCCCACATAGGTGCTGGTTCATGTGGTTCATGTGCTGGAGGTTCCATTTCCCATCCAGCACCCTGCTTGTGGCCTGGGAAAGCAGCAGAACATGGCTCAGTCTTGGGACTCTGTACCTGCTTGGGAGACTCAGAAACAGCTTCTGGCTTTGGGTCTGCTCAGCTCCAGCTGTTGCAGCCATTTGGGAAGTGCACCAGCAGGTAGAAGATCTTTCTGTCTCTCCTTCTCTCTGTTGAATCTGGCTTTCCAATGAAAATAAATACATCTTTAACACACATACACTTATTTTTGTAAGTACTTTTACCTCCCAATTTTCTTATATTGAGTATAGGGGGAATCCCACAGTTTCATGTTTTCAATGAAAGAAGCTAAGAGAATCACATACTGCCAGGCTACTTATGCAAGTTTTTTTCTGCTCCATTCTGGCAGAAAATTCCTTGCACTAAGCTACTGCTGTTCTTCACTAACCTACAAATGCAGGCATGTGCACAATACATCAGTATACTCACTACACACAGACTACAAACAAACATAAGCATTCATCACAGGAAGAGGGGTTAACTAAACAGAGAGCCAAGGAAACGGAACCGGCAAGAGTTGTCAAGGAAGGAGGAACACGAAATGGCTCCATTCAAAAGACAGGGTCCAGGCAGACAGAGTGGCTCAAAGGCGTGCTCAGGACGCGAGTCTCTGCAAGAAAGCAAGAGAAGACACACGTCGACGTGGCCCTGCAGGTGCAAGGAAATGCCCTGGATTAGCTGACAGTACCAGCCCCCCTTGGGAAGAAGCAGTAAGGAAAGCTTTTCCAAGAATTCTTCAGCATTATCCATATTTTTTACATTGTCCATGTACTGTTGGGATGTTTTCCAGCTAAATTCACAGAAGTAGGGCCCGGCGCGGTGGCGCAAGTGGTTAAGTCCTCGCCTTGCAACCCCGGGATCCCATATGGGCGCAGGTTCTAATCCCGGCAGCCCCGCTTCCCTTCCAGCTCCCTGCTTGTGGCCTGGGAAAGCAGTGGAGGACGGCCCAAAGCTTTGGGAACCTGCACCCGTGCGGGAGACCCGGAAGAGGCTCCTGGCTTCGGATCGGCATAGTATCGGCCCGTTGCGCTCACTTGGGGAGTGAATCATCGGACGGAAGATCTTCCTCTCTGTCTCTCCTCTCTGTATATCCGCCTTTCCAATAAAAAATAATAAAAAAATAAATCTTTAAATTCACAGAAGTACACATCCAGACATTAGATGCCATGCAGCACGAAGCCCTAAGTATGGAAGGGGCCAGATGCTGGAACTGTAGCCTGCTTTCTCCTTTCTCACAAGCTCACTGCACAGCAGGGCCAAGGGTTTGTTTGGCATAAGATAACAGAAGGGCTTTGTATCAGCAGAGCTTGACGTCATCAACTTCAAGGCCACCTCCCTTTTAAAGACAAAAGGCAAAGTGAGACAGAGACAGAGGAGAGATTTTCCATTTACTGGTTCATTCCCCAAATGCCCACCACAGTAGAGCCGGGCCAGAATCTCCATCCCAGTCTCCCACAGGGGCTGCAGGAACCCAAGCCCTTGAGTCATCGTCCGTTTCCTCCCAGGCAAATCAGCAGACACCTGCATCGGAAGCAGGCAGTGGCTCCGATCACAACAGGCAGTCCAGTACCAGAAGCGGGCGACCCACGTGGCACCTGCAGCCACTGCCACAGGCCCACACCCATCAAGGTCCTTAGTCTGTGACTCTTCACATCACTCATTCACTTTTCACCTAGCACACTTTCAATACAGGAGTAGTTTGACTTTCAAGCAAATTGTATTTAACTAAACACTTAATAACAATAGGGGCCAGCATTGCTGCTTGGGCTGGTGGGAGTGGGGTTCACCACTATTCCTCTAGTGAATGGAATTCCTGGCTCCAGCCTGGCCCAACCCTACATGTGATGGACATTTGGGGAATGCACTAATACATGGAAGACCTTCCTTTCTCTCTCTCTCATTCTACCTTTTGAATAAATACATCATTTTTTTTTTAAAGATTTATTTTTATTATTTTTTCATTGGAAAGGCGGATATACAGAGAGGAGAGACAGAGAGGAAGATCTTCCGTCCGATGATTCACTCCCCAAGTGAGCGCAACGGGCCGATACTATGCCGGTCCGAAGCCAGGAGCCTCCTCCGGGTCTCCCACGCGGGTGCAGGTTCCCAAAGCTTTGGGCCGTCCTCGACTGCTTTCCCAGGCCACAGGCAGGGAGCTGGAAGGGAAGCGGGGCCGCCGGGATTAGAACCGGCGCCCATATGGGATCCCGGGCGTGCAAGGCGAGGACCTTTAACCACTTGCGCCACCGCTCCGGGCCCAATACATCATTTTAAAATAATAATAACACAGCCAGTAACTGCAGCTGCTGTTGGCTACCCATTCATTCACCCGGGATCCTGGAAGCATTCAGTGCTGGGTTTCCATCCAGTGAGACAGTGAACAACAACTGAGAAAATGAGGCCAAGGAAGAGAGAGCGTGTAGAGAAGGTGTGTGGCTCTGGAAGACTGGTAGGGCAGGGGCCCAGAGTGACAGCCTGGCCAGGGGACCAGAGCAGCATCCACACGCCTTGTGCAGTGCACGGCAGCCCAGGCAGGTGGGACTGCAAAGGCAAAGCCCTGGACATAGACAGAGCCTGGCATGCAACAAGCTCCCCATGGAGACTGAAGCCAATGGACACACCACCCAGAAGAGAGGACCTGCCTCCCTCCACGTTCACAACAACCCAATAG